CATTATTACCTCTTCTCCATGAGAGATATCTCTCATAGCATCTGCTAATTCTTGGAGTTGTTTTTCTTTCAACGCTAGTTTCTCATGTGCTTGTTTGACATCCAATCCGGGTAGTACATCCTTCTCTGCTTGCTCAACTCTTTGACCTGTGACTTTATCAAACTCCATCAATTGTGTCTGAAAAAACAAGTTGTACAGTCTGTCAGTCGGTTATAAGTGATTTGTGGTCTGAGTATGGTAAAAGTTTTCTGGAATGTGCAAACAGCTGACAATGGTGGTGAAAGTATTGATATGCAAATTACCTAATTAATATGCATAGGTATATAACATCACTACTTTTTGGAAGGTTACAATAGTTGACAATGGTGGTGAAAGGGCTTATATGCAAATTACCTAATTAATATGCATAGACAAAACATCACTACTTTGTGGAAGGCTACAACAGTTGACAATGGTGGTGAAAGGGCTGATATGCAAATTACCTAATTAATATGCATAGAAAGAACATCACTACTTTCTAGAAGGCTACAACAGTTGACAATAGTGGTGAAAGGGTTGCTGATGTGCAAATTATCTAATTAATATGCATAGAAAGAACATCACTACTTTCTAGAAGGCTACAACAGTTGACAATAGTGGTGAAAGGGTTGCTGATGTGCAAATTATCTAATTAATATGCATAGACAGAACATCACCACTTTCTGGAAGGCTACAACAGTTGACAATAGTGGTGAAAGGGTTGCTGATGTGCAAATTACCTAATTAATATGCATAGACAGAACATCACTACTTTCTGGAAGGCTACAACAGTTGACAATAGTGGTGAAAGGGTTGCTGATGTGCATATTATCTAATTAATATGCATAGACAGAACATATAACTGTTTTGTGGAGGGTTGTTGACAATGATAGTGGTAAAGCGTTTGGCGAAATCACCCAAAAACAAATACAGTGATGATAGATTCTCTCCAGAGTTCATGTAACTGAACATTATGTTTTTCAGTGGATCTGAAATAATCAACAAGTTTGTGATAGTAGTCTAACCTTATGCTGGCGTAGTAAATCATCTTTTTTATCTGCCAACTCTTCCTCTGTCATATCACCGGCATTTGCAATCAAATCCATTAACTCTTGTCTCTGTGCCTCCAACAATTCATCTCGTTCAGATTGTCTCGCCTCTTCCATTTTATTCCTGGCATCAGCAATTGCTGCATTTCGTTCATGTTTCATCTTCTCATTCTATTATAAACACAAATAGCAAATATTCATACAAATTAGATTTAACATTCCAGCAATGATGGAGTAGGGGTCAATTTGATCTCAATCTGACCTCTGACCCTTAATCATCATAGACACTCAACAAATTCCATTGCAGCATTTAATGCAGACTGACTTCCAGTGTTTCCACAATCATCTGTGGTCAGTGTTGTGACTCACTACATTGTTGCTGCAACCAATGCAAACAAAGGAAAGTGTTCCAACAGGAGGTAAATATGTAAATATGACACAAATTCCCAATGTTGGAGTGAGGAGAAATACAAATACAAATGGAATGCTAGATTCTATAATGTATATAACATAATACAAGATATATTCTCCTAATACAGTTAGATCAGGTCCATGTGTAATTACTATAATTACAAGTATTACCTGATTAACAGTTTCTTTAATATGTCTTTGTCTTAAAACTCTGTAGATGACATTCTCTGCGCTCACATCTTCACCTTGTAATTCACTGTCTATTGCAGGACGTTCTTTTCCTCGCATCTATAATTAAAAATATATAAAAAAATAAATTCATACTGGACCATTCACACAATAGGATAATTAAATCATAACAACTAGCATAAACAAGACAATAGACAAGTAACAAATGAGAATTGTTCAAGTTATGGACAAACAAAACAACAAGTGACCTGACGGTCGATATAGCTCCGCTGTCTTTATTATCATGAAACAAGAATCAGTAAAGTGGCATTGTGGTTGTAATATTCATAGTCATTTAGAGAACATTGCACTTGAGTTGCAGTTGGAAATATGAAAGCATTTTGACTTACGGTTTCGGACTAGTTGTCGAAAATAATTTTTTTTACCAAAAATGACAAAAATATTCACTAAAAATCCAAATTCCCATATTTTGACACAAATTTAACAAATCTGACAGAGGACCATCCAACGTATCCTTGCTGCAAATATGAAAGCAATTGGACTTTATACGGTTTAGGACCAGTTGTCGACAATAACATTTTTTACTAAAAATGACAAAAATAATCTTTAAAAATCCAGATTTACATATTTTGACACAAATTTAACAAATCTGACAGAGGACCACCCCACGTATCATTGCTGGAAATATGAAAGCATTTGGACTTCTGATTTTGGACTAGTTGTCGAAAATAACAATTTTTACCAAAAATTAAAAAAATATTCACTAAAAATCCAAAGTTCCATATTTTGACAAGAATTTAACAAATCTGACAGAGGACCATCCCAAGTACCTCTGGTACAAATATGAATGTAATTGGTCAAGTACTTTTGAAACAACGCCAAAATTATAACTTGATGTTCAATTAACAATTTACAGAGTAAATTATACCTCTTTCTCTATTTTCTTCTCCCGTTCCATGTGTTGTTGTCCAAGCTCTTTCTCCATTTCAGCTTGATGTTTTTTTCTCAAATGCTCAGCCATCTTTTTCTTCCTCTCAGCAAATCTCTCTTGTAAAGACTTCTTTTGTCTTTCTTTTTCCTGGTCCATCGCAGCTGCCAATCTCTCCATCTGCCAAGCATAGCACAATAATTGTAGACTTGCACAGAATGCACATTGATTTGTTTACATTATAAAGTATGTAATTTACAGGGCACTGTGTAAGATACTGTAGATTACTATTTTTCAACAACCAGTATAACTCCATGATAGATAAAATTAGTATAAATGCATTAAAACTTTCTAAATTACATAATACGTTTTTATTTGGCTGAATCAACATCACAAGGAAAAATTATGTCTTGTCTTTGTGAATGCTTGGAACACGATCTGTCAAAGTATGTCCGAGAAATGGTTAAGAAGACATAAAAATAAAAAAATAAAACCAACATCTACTTTAGAGTGAGAAGTTTCTGTTTTACCTCTTGTCTGTGTTTCTCCAACAGTTTTTGATATTCATCATCACTTAGTTGTTTTCTCTTCAGTAACATTTCCTTTTCAAATGCTGCATCTTTTTTGGCTATTATTCTATTTTTTTCATCAACAATCTCTCGGTTTATCTTCTCAGTCTCTTGACTTTCTTCATCATCAAGATCCTTCTGTGCCTTATTTTCTACTTCTTTCTGTTGTACTTCCAGTTCTACTTGTTTCTGCATTTGTTTCTCCTAAAACAACCAAAGATACTAAGTTTTGATTGAAAGTTTGTAAATAACAAAATATTTTCAGTGCCAATCTTGTTGGTGGCAATGATTAGATTGTGTACAAAAAAATAAAAAAATGTCCCTCATAGCAACAGTATAACCATGGTAGACTTACATAGCAACAGTAACAATGGCAAAATATATACTCAGCAACAGTCATGTATCATAGTAACAGTTACCATGACAGATAAGTCCCTCTGTAACTATGCTCCAGATGACAATAGTCACCACAAGCGATATGTAACAGTAACCATATCTAGTTGGTCTATGATAAAAACAA